ACTGATGTTCTGCAGTAGTTGTGAGCTAATTCCTCTTCTCGATAAACTCCAGGTGCACTTGCTGGATTTCCCCAATATTGTGATCAAAGGCTCAGAGTTGCAGCTGCCCTTCCAGGCCTGTCTGAAAGTGGAAAAGTTCGGTGATCTCATCCTGAAGGCTACTGAACCCCAGATGGTTCTCTTCAATCTCTACGATGACTGGCTGAAAACCATCTCTTCCTACACGGTCAGCACAGCATGCCCAGTCTGCATTTTGCTTTGCCGTTGATAAATGAAGCAGGAGCCAAGGCTTCAGAAACCCCTCCCAGTTGGTTGCTTGGGAGCACTTGGCTCTGGGTGTGACTGAATTTTCCTTCAAATTGATTCCACTGGCACTTGCCGTGCAGTGTCAGCATGCCCAGGCAGAGGAGTGCTGTGCTAGGGCCTTGTATATTTGGGTTCCTTCTTTCTGACTAACTGCATCTTTTTTTTCTTCTGCAAGGCTTTCTCTCGTCTGATTCTGATTCTCCGGGCACTGCATGTCAATAACGATCGAGCCAAAGTTATTCTGAAGCCAGATAAGACAACCATAACAGAGCCTCACCACATCTGGCCAACCCTGACAGATGAGGAGTGGATCAAGGTGGAGGTGCAGCTGAAAGATCTCATCCTTGCTGACTATGGCAAGAAGAACAAGTAAGCCACTCTCCAGCTGCAGTAATCCTGTCAATAATCCTTCCTGCTCTGAAGACTGCGTGGCCAGAGCGCTCCTTGTGGAGAGTAGAAGACTTTCAAGGGCCTTTGGCAATGAACTGTCAACTTTGTAGGGAGACTGCTTATTATTATTAATTGCAGTAAGGCAGATAAAAATGTCTGCACCAAGCCTTTTATGATCTGTGCATCATGTGATTTGGTCCCCCCTCTTGTCTAAAAAGTTGTGGGTTTGTTTTTCGTAGCAGCCTGAGTGGATGTTCTGAGCTTGTGCCTTGGTGAGAAGGGTGCAGAATGTGTTTTGAAATGCCTGACTTGGGTGGATTTTCTCTTTCAGTGTGAACGTTGCATCCCTGACGCAGTCAGAGATCCGAGACATTATCCTGGGCATGGAGATCTCTGCCCCCTCTCAGCAGAGACAGCAGATTGCAGAAATTGAGAAGCAAACCAAGGAGCAGTCACAGCTGACAGCCACGCAGACCCGCACTGTTAACAAACACGGGGATGAAATCATCACCTCTACAACCAGCAACTACGAGACCCAGACTTTCTCCTCCAAGACTGAGTGGCGAGTCAGGTAGGGAAGCAGGCAGGGCAGTTGTGCAAGGAAAAGGTCAGAGTGCTCAGGAAGGGAACTGCGCACCCTCTAATGGTTGTCTCCTCTTCACAGAGCCATTTCTGCTGCCAACCTCCACCTGCGAACAAACCACATTTATGTTTCGTCAGACGATATAAAGGAAACGGGCTATACGTACATTCTTCCCAAGAACGTGTTGAAGAAATTCATCTGCATCTCCGATCTGCGGGCTCAGGTGAGTGTGCAACGAGTCTGTTACAGTTGTAGCCCGCGCTGCTGGGGCACACGCCAGTCCTGGGCAGTCGGGACCTAACGGCAAAGGGCTGGGAACTTGCTGCTGCCCGTGTGAAGCCCTCTGTGCTCGAGACAGACACTGGCAATACAAGTTCTAGCCAGGTCCTGATGGCTCCTAGTGGTCCAGACTTGGTGGGAAGCTCACCATTGAACAAAACTACGAAGTTCTCTAGTGAGAACCTGCTGGCCAAGAGATACTCTCCTTATGAGCTAAGGGCAGGGCCCACCTGCTTTCATACAGTTACAGGGAGGTTTCTTCTGGGCTTCTGAGGCTGGTGTCTGTGTTCCTAGATTGCAGGTTACCTGTATGGGGTGAGCCCTCCCGATAACCCCCAAGTGAAGGAGATCCGGTGCATTGTGATGGTGCCCCAGTGGGGAACACACCAGACTGTGCATCTCCCGGGGCAGCTGCCGCAGCATGAATATCTCAAGGTGAGTTGAGCTTCTGCTGCCGGTGTGGGTGGAAGATCACCGTCTCCAGTAACAGGGACCTAAGGTGGTGGGGCAGTTTCCCTTGGTTTGGTGTAGATGTGGGACTTCAGGGCTCGACCTGAAGGCAGCCTGATGTGGGATCGGGTGAAAGGGCAGCGTTTGGTCCCAGTGTGCTTTTTGCCATGCTTGAAGTGGTCTTGTTTTAAACATCTTTTCATTTCTCTCTAAAACACTCTGTCAGGAAATGGAACCTCTGGGGTGGATTCACACCCAACCAAACGAGTCCCCTCAGCTCTCGCCGCAGGATGTCACCACCCATGCCAAGGTCATGGCTGACAACCCCTCCTGGGATGGGGAGAAGACTATCATCATCACCTGCAGGTGAGAGGCAGGGAGGCTTCTGTGCATCCCCGCTGCTGAAGGGGGCCTGAGGTCTCAAACGAAAAATTTGGCAGAAGGAGAGGGTTTGCTTATGTCTGGTTTCCCTCTAGTCGGTCTGACTCGCTCCATCTCTCCTTCCTTTCAGTTTCACGCCAGGCTCCTGCACGCTGACAGCCTACAAACTGACCCCCAGCGGCTACGAGTGGGGCAGGCAGAACACGGACAAAGGGAACAACCCCAAGGGCTACCTGCCATCCCATTACGAGAGAGTGCAGATGCTGCTGTCGGATCGCTTCCTCGGCTTCTTCATGGTCCCAGCACAAGGATCCTGGAACTACAACTTCATGGGTGAGCTGCCCTGGGAAAGGGAGAGGAGGGGAGGCAAGGTGGATAGCTTGGGGAGGAGAAGGAAATGGCTCCTCAGGAAAGCGTTCCTTACCTGTTCTGAAGCTTGACCTTCCTCGGAGCGGCTGGCAGGGATACCAGCGTCGTGATCTGACCTTTCCTTGGTACCACCACTGGGATGTCAGTTCTCAATGATTTTTCCAGGGCAAGAGAGCAAACTCTGATAGAAGGGAGAAATAGACATCTTGTCTTTCTGGGTTGTAGTGTCTGGTCTGTTGCCACTGAATAATTAATCCCTGTCAGGCAGAATAGATGATAATGGAAAATGCAAGAGAAAAGCTGTGCCCAGTAGGGATGAACTACAGACAGCTGCAGACGGGTTCAGGAGATGAGGAGAGTGGCGGACAAAACGCTTGACTAGCAGAAGACTATGGGGGCATTGCTCTGTAAATCTCCAGGGGGAGGAACCCAAAGGGTGGTGACTTTCACAGAACAGTTTGAGTTGGAAGGGACCTTAAAAGCCATCCAGTTGTTCCAACCCCCTGCCCTGGGCAGGGACACCTCCCACCAGCCCAGGTTGCTCCAAGCCCCGTCCAACCTGGCCTTGAACACCTCCAGGGATGGGGCAGCCACAGCTTCTCTGGTGCCTCACCGCCCTCACAGTGAAAGATTTCTTCCTGATATCTCATCTAAATCTCCCCTCTTCCAGTTTAAAACCGTTCCCCCTCGTCCTATCACTCCCCTCCCTGATCAAGAGTCCCTCCCCAGCTCTCCTGGAGCCCCTTTAGGGTTTCCCTTTAAGGTCTCCCCAGAGCCTTCTCTTCTCAGGGCTGAACACCCCCCACTCCCTCAGCCTGTCCTAACAGCAGAGGGGCTTCAGCCCTCTGATCATCTCCGTGGCCTCCTCTGGCCCCACTCCAACAGGTCCATGTCTTTCTGCTGTTGGGCCCCCCCGAGCTGGAGGCAGCACTGCAGGGGGGTCTCCCCAGAGCAGAGGGGCAGAATCCCCTCCCTCGCCCTGCTGAGGGTGCAGCCTGGCATGTCGGTGGCTTTGTTGGCTGTGAGTGCACATTGCCGGCTCATGTTGTGCTGTGGATTTAGAACTGTCTCTTCTGCTTAAAAATTGCCTCGTGAGGGTAGAGGGCTTCATTAGGCTCCTGATCAATGGTGGAGGCAGGAGGGGCTTTCAGGTGGGTGATGGACTCTCTCTTCCAGGTGTTCGCCACGACCCCAACATGAAGTACGAGCTGCAGCTCGCCAACCCCAAGGAGTTCTACCACGAGGTCCATCGCCCTTCTCATTTCCTCAACTTCGCCCTGCTGCAGGAGGGGGAGGTCTACTCCGCAGACCGGGAGGACCTCTACGCCTAGTGCCGCCCGCGCCCCCCACTCTTAGTACTGTTGATATTCAACAGCGTGTGCATGTCCCCCGCTGCTCCTCGTCCCCGCTCACGTCCCCCGTGTCCCCTGTGCCGTGTCTCGGGTTGTTGTACCTTATCCAGTTGCTCAATAAATCTTTGTTTTTTGTTTTTTTTTACCAACGGGAGCGCTGCCCGTGTGATCACGCCTCGCTGGGCGCGGCCCCGGACGGGGCGGGCCGGGGCCGGGACCGGGCGGAGCGT